GAAGGTGGAGAGAGTGTGCTCTTTGGAGGCAAAGATGATGAGGCTTCACATCACTTTTTTCAGGCATGTTGCTAGGATACACTATTCCTTGGAGAGGGACAAGATGCTTGGAAAGGTGGAGGGTTGGTGAAGGAGAGGAAGACCCTCAACCATGTGGATTGACACAGTGACTGCTGCAAAGGGCTCTGCTGTGTCAAGAAGTGTGGAGATGACACAGGATAGGACAGGGTTCAGAAATGTTCATAGGGTTGTCATGAGTTTAACTCAACTCAATGGCAATTAACAAAAGCAACTACCACTTCACCAAATATGATGCCTTTCCCTGGCAGTTGATCTTTTTTGATGCCTAAATTAAGGGAGCGGAAGTCACACCATCTTTGCATCCAAGAAGCATTGTGGCTAAGAAGCCTTCTTCTAGAACTGATTTGTTTGTACTTCTGGCAATCCATGGTGTATTCAATATTTTTGCCAGTTGTTATATGCCGTTGAGTTGCTTGCAACTCATAGTGACCTTGTGTACAACAGTCCTATACTCTGTTTTATCCTGTGCCAATCTTATTGTCTCTGACATACCTACCCCCTTTACCCCAACCACACATGTAAACCTGGCACCACTAGTAACTACATGGAGCTCTGGTGACCAAGTGGGTAAGGAGTTGCACTGCCATCCAAAAGCAGGCTGTTCAAATGTATTAGCTGCTCTGTGGGGGAAAGATGGGTAATCTTCTCCTGTGTGATTTACAGCTTCTGAAGGGTCTGTCAGCTATGAGTTGCTTCTGGCTCCACAGTATAACTTTGGCTTTAACTAGTAGCCACAGGGCCATACAGTTAGAGATTGGTAAGGTATAACCACTCAGAAACAGCTAGAACAGTACATAGACAGAAAACGGCCAGATCTTCAAGCTGGATTAAAAAAAAAAAAGACCTTGATGCTCGCTTCAGCAGCACATATACTAAAATTGGAATGATACAGAGAAGATTAGCATGGCCCCTGCGCGAGGATGACACGCAATTCGTGAAGCGTTCCATGTGGCGGGGGACGCACTGACAGGGGAGATTGATCAGAGCTGGCTTTGATAAGCACTGTGGCAGTTGGACAATTGGGGTGGACTTTGAAGGGGGAAAGGGGGAAGGGAGGAACAAACTGGGGAGGAGGGTGGAGAGGGTAGTGCGGCAATGGATGAATGGAGACCCGGGGTCTCTGTGAATGTTCATTAAAATTAATAAAATTTAATTTAAAAAAAAAAAGACCTTGGCACCAGGGATATTATTGCTGATGTCAGATAGATCCTAGCTGAAAGCAAAGAATACCAGAAAGATGTCTATCTGTGCTTTATTAACTATGCAAAGGCATTTATGTGTGTGGATCATAACAAATTATGGCTAACACTGAAAAGAATAAAAATTCTAGAACTTAATTGTGCTCATGTGAATTTAATACCTAGACCAAAAAGGTATTGCACAAACAAAGCAAAAAAACTTTCTCAGCATGGTATAAAATTTAAAAAGGTATGCACTTAATCCTGGAAAGGGTTAAACCAGGTGGCTCCTTGGAGGCAAGGATTCTGAGGCTCCGTCTAACATACTTTGGACATGTTGTGAGGAGAGACCGGTCCTTGGAGAAGGACATCATGCTTGGGATGGTGGAGGGACAACGCAGGAGGGGAAGGCCCTCTATGAGGTGGATTGATTCAGTGTCTGGGATTATCGGGATGGGAGTGTCAGAGACAGTGCGGTTGGCATAGGACAGAGCAGAGTTTAGGGCTGTTGTACACAGGGTCGCTGTGAGTCGCAGGCGACTCGACGGCACATAACAGCAACAACAACATGCATCAAGATTTTATCTTTTCTCCAGACATATTTGTTCTGAATTCTGAGACAATTCTTTGAGAATTTTTTCTGTGAAGAAGAATGTGGCATCAGGATTGGAGGAAAACTCATCAATAACCTTCATTATGCAGAAGAAACAACCTTGCTTGCTGAAAGTGAGGAGGTCTTGAAGCTCTTGCCACAGAAGGTTAAAACCTGCAGCCTATAATATAGATTGTACCTCAACATCAAGAAAACAAAAACCCTTTTCCACTGGACCAGTAGGCAATATCATGATAAATGGAGAAAAGATTGAAACTGTAAATGATCTTACTTAGATCCATAATCAATACCTTTGGTGCCAGCAGTCAGGAGATTGGGAGACATATTAAACTGGTAAAGTGTGTACTTTCCAAATTATTGAGGAGCAATTAAATCAGTTTGAAAACTAAGGTGTGCCTGACTCAGGCCATGGCCTTTTCAGTCACTTGCCATATGGCTGCAAACTGGGTAATGAATATGGATGACAGAAGAATTGATGCCTTTAAACTGTGATGTTGGAGATGTGTTCTGAATATCCCATGGACAGAAAAAGGAACAGTTATATCTTAGAGAAGGTATAGCTAGAATGCTCCTTGGAAGCAAAGATGATAAAGCTTCATCTCACATACTTTGGGCATGTTTATAGGAGAGGCTACTCCTTTCATGCTTTGAAAGGCGGAGGAACAGCAAAGTCCTTCAGTCAGGTGGATTGGCACTGTGACTGCGACAATGACTTGAGTGCGTCAGAAATTGTGAGAATAACACAGGACAGGACAGGGTTCAGATCTGTTGTTTATAGAGACACTATGAGTTGTACTCGGCGACAGGTAACAACCTTGTAAACAGGATTGAGACATGTCAGATCTCTCCTGACCTTACCATATGAAGGCTACACCTTAAAACTAGTGTTTCTTTTTTTTCTTCTTTATCCTATGAAACCATTTTTCTCTTTTGTTTGTTTTATTAATTTTAATGAAAATGTACAGAGACTTAGGGTTTCTATTCATTCATTGTAGTGCTTTCCTTCCTGCCCACCCCTTCCTCCCACAATTTGCTCTTCTCTTTGAAAAGTAAAAGAAAAATTCTTTCATTGTTATACAATCCCTCCGCCTCCAACTCCACTCCACTGTGCAGCCTTCATTCTGGACTCACGTCATGACAATAATACCTAATCAAATATCCCTTTTAAACAGTTTTCTCCCTCACCTGGTTTAATGTAGTACACATTATTTATCCCCTCTTTATCAATCTTCCCTCAATCCCGATGTCAGTCCCATTTTACAACAGTGGCCCTATGCAATATTTGTCCTTTCAGAACTGAGATATTTCACTCAGCATAATGTCCTCCAGGGTCACCCATTTTGTATAATATTTCATGAGTTCCTTGTTTTTCAACGCAGCATATTATTCCATTGTGTGAATATACCAGAGCTTCTCTAGCCATTCATTTGTTGATGGAAAACTAGTGTTTCTTTTGGGTTATTTTTTACAGGGGACCCCACAAAAGTCTGCTAGACATTCTTGTCATCTAGTCACCCAAAGTATGAGTTTTGGTTTTTATTAGGTCACTTGGAATGAGAAAGAAAGCTTTAAAAATACTCGTAGGTGATTTTCATTACAACTTCTAAGTGAACAGGCCACCTACAAAGGATCTTCAGCCCCTGGTGATGCTAATGGCTTGTGCTACCATATCTTTAGCTCTTCTTTCTCTCCAAGAATGAAAGAGTGTCCTTGTTGGTTCCTAGGGAGCCTAAATAAAACAACGTATACTGTGCAGCTTACTTTTTTCAGAAACATTATATTGTATAACAGAGAAGAAAGCTTAACGTAGGTCTAGGATGGGTGATCTCTTCCCATGTGATTAAACTGTCTCTGAAAACCCACCGGAGGGTCAACTATGGGTCAGTTCTGACTCGATGGTACACACAACAATAACAAGAACAATGTGATGCCAAGGCCATGTTCTTTCTATCACGAAGAGGGACCAATACTGCATAGGTCTTTGTACCAGAGTTCATACACAAGCTGAACTCTGCAAATTCTATTCTGAGATCTGAGAATTTTATTCTTAAGAAAGAACAGCCTGCAAAGCAGCCCAGGCTCTCTGGCTCTGGACTGCATCTGCTCTTCTATCACATCTGTGTGTCAGGTTCGTGACCAAGAGGCTTTGGTCCCCTTCTACCAATATCTGTGTCAGGTTCATGGCCAAGGGGTTCTGTGTCTCCTTCTACCATGTCTGTGTGTCAGGGTCATGTCCAGAGGCAGGCCGGGATTTAGAGTCCTCTGGTGGCAACAGGAGTCTTTTTAACTGACATATGCAGACAGCAGCAGAGGGGAAAAAAAACCCATGAAAGGCCATTTCTCTCTAGGACAACACTCAGGGCCAAGACCAAGGCTATTGCCCCCATTGGGAATACCATGATTCTATAAAAGGAGCCAATCTGAATGAGAAAAAAAAAATTAACAAGTTGGCTAAGGCAGTTCCCAGCATGACCTCTCCTTGACTAGAGTGTGTGATTTTGCTCTTGGATAAAATATCAAGAGGCAAAGATGCCAAAACCACCGTAGGGACATGTTCATTCTGAGCTGTTCTGCAAAAATGCAAACTTGGCAATCAACATAGTTACCTTTCACCAGGTCTATAGGGATAGACAACATGAGTACAAATCCAAAGCAGGAACAGACCTGCAGTCACTGTCTAAGACCCTTGTGCCCAGAGAGTTCCTGGCAGCAACATGAAGAGGTCAATGACATCACCCAAAGGCATGAGTTAGGGCCAGGACCCTTCATCTCAGTTACACCAAACACTGGAGGCGTATTTTTGATACAGGAAGAAGCTTTATTGATTATTCATAGAGCCGTGAAATTATATTGTTAGGAGATTCTAAAGCACTGAAGTAGAAACAAAATTCCAGAAAAAAAAGACTGAGAAAGGAAAAAAAATAACCTGAGTGGTAGACAAGTAACAACATTGCAAAGAAATATAGTTTAAGGCGCAAGTAAGAAGCCACTGTTCAGAAGTATCTGCTGCTCTGATTTAGGAAGAGGTCTCCAAAAGCTTTGTTTGTCTGAAAGAAGACTAAGTGAGGTGAAGGAAATCCAGATCCCAGTGCAACCAGCCTTAACCTCCTGCATCAGGACTCGAATCTTCAGAAGCGGATCCCAGAGCTAGTGCCACAAGCTGAGGGGGCTCCACAGGCAGGGGGGACACAGCCCGGACGAAGGGTACAAGAGGCAGGTGTGGCGCATGGGTTGCAGGGAAGTCTGCAGGTGAAGAAAGAAGAAGGGAAGAGTTAGACAGGGAAATAAAAATATGCCCCACTAATATATGAAGCTCTGGTGGTCTAGTGTAGAGAAACTGTGCTGCAATCCCAAAGGCAAGCAGATTCTAATCCACCAGCTGCTTGGCAGGATAAGGATGGGCAATCTCTTCCCATGCAATTTACTGTCACTGAAAACCCACTGGAGGGTCAGCTATGGGTCAGCTCAGACTCAACTGTAAACAACAACAACATATAGGAAAAGGGTAATAATACCAGAAGACAAAGGACAATCCTGCTCCCAAGTCACTCGCCTCTCGCCCAGTGGAATGCATATGAATAGGTCCATGACTCGCTATTTGTGTCTTTGTGTCCGGGAGTCCACGCAGGTATCTGGGACCCACTCAAGCAACACTTGATCAGCAGTGCACCGTGCAGTTAATGAGTTTAAGCAAGCGTGCCCAGAGAGGCTTGGTTTCCAGCGATGCTATCTATCTCCTTTCACAAGCTCTTCGGGTATTTCCAAGGAATCGCCTAAAAAGCATGTATGTGGCTGCTGTGCCAGGAATTGCCTAGAGCACACGTACTTGCAGTCTTCACTCTCCAGGAGGTTCCGGTACGTGTTGATCTCCCCCTCCAGCCGGGTCTTGACATCCAGCAGCACCTGGTACTCCTGGTTCTGACGCTCCAGGTCGGCCCTGATCTCAGACAGCTGTTCCTCCACGTTGCTGATCAGGCTCTGCATCTGGGCCAGCTCCGTGCCGAAGCGGGCCTCGGATTCGCACAGGGAGTTCTGCAGACAGTCTTTCTACAGGGGAAAGATATCAGAAAGAGATTCAGATGCTTCAAAATTCAGCAGAGAAAAATCATGGTCAGGTTGACCAGGCATAGAACAAATTCCAGGAAGTTACAGAACACGGCCACGGCTCTGGGAAAACCATCTTCAGTATGGCCATGACTTTGCATCCGAAAACTGATCTTGAGGAACTATATCACATGTATTCCTAAATCTTCAATATGTTTTCTCTGAGTACCATTGAGTCAGAACCAACTCACAGGGGACCCTCCAGTGGATTTTCAGAAGCAGTAAATCACACCAGAGGGGACTGTTCATCTTTCTCCTCCAGAGTGACTGGTGGTTTCAAACCATGTGCCTTTGGGTTGGCAGCACAATTCCTTACCATTAAGCCACCAGAAAATAGGTAAATAAATAAATAAAATAACCAGTAGTATTTTGAATGAGTGCCCTAACTTCTATACTACTTTGAGAAGAGTGGAGTTGGCTTTTAACAGGAACTGTTTCTCTAGGTTGGACTGAGGTTGACAGCCTGGTATTTTCATCAAGGAGACAAGGACCCAGATCCTGAGCTCTGAGTTACTTCTAAAGGGGAAGGCCCACCGTTGATGCTACCACCAGGCAATGGTGTGAGGGGAGGGTGAGGGAGGACACATACCAGGGTGTGAAGGGCTTGGCGCTCAACCTCCAGGGCGTTCACTGTGCATCTCAGCTCCAGGATCTCCGACTGGCAGCACTGCAGCTCCTCAGAGCAGGACATGGCCTGCAGGCTGATGCCTTCAGACTGAAACACAAGGGGGCAGACGACATGGTCACCCACTGACCTGGAACAGAAGCGAGGCGCCTCCCTGCTCTGCAGCCCCACCCTCACCTGAGCTTGGAACCACTGCTCCACGTCCTGGCGGTTGGTCTCCACCATGGCCTCGTACTGGCCCCGCATCTCCTCCAGCACCCTGTTCAGGTCCACGGTGGGCTCGGTGTCCAGCTCAATGCGGAGCTTGTCTCCCAGCTGGCTCTTCAGAATGTTCACTTCCTGAAGGAACAAAAGTCAGAGTGAGAAAAGTAACAGATGACATGGAAGACTGTCCCAGGATCACTGGTGGGAAGGGCGGATTTGGAGACTTCTAAACACACCAGACACATCTTTACAGAGAAGCTCCAACTTTGCCACATTCCACAGAGTTAGTCTAGACTCAGACCCAGATGGATCTATCATGCTGATGCCAGCTGAAGACAGGCTCTAATCTGAGGAAGGAGTGCAGGGTGGTGGCCCTCTCTGCCCCACACACTTCCCCGAGTCTCAACCTTCTCGTGGTTGCTCTTGAGGGAAAGCTGCTCCTCCTTCAGGGACTCCTGCTGGGCTTCCAGGTCAGACTTGGCCAGAGTCATGTCGTCCAGGAGCTTGTGCATCCCGCACATGTCGGCCTCCACCAGCTGACGCAAGGCGTGCTCACTCTCGAACCTTCCATCACAGGAGATGCAGGGTCAATAAGGAGGCCACCAAACACCCCCCTCAGCTGGCTCTGGTTTCTGCCTCGTTCACCATCTTGGATTCTCCCTGATTCATTTTATTAACAAAAAGTCTGCTCTACAAGGCTGGTGGTCAGGATCATATGCCTGAGTCAACTTCGGTGGTCTGGTTTCACATGCAGTTTTTATTCTGTCATAACAGAAGTTTTTAAGTCAGGAGAAAGAATGACTAAAGCCAGACCTCTTGGTCCTTCTGTTTGTTGTTTGACCCCTTGGACTGATTATTTCATGTTGCTTGTCTGCCTTTCTCATTCATTAAATTGCAACACTTGCTCCCAGAGAGCTTCAGTAACAGTTCAGTCCCGCGATGCGATGGCCAAGGGTTGACGTGTCTGTCGTGTCCTAACACACTGAGAGTTTGTTCTGTCAATTATTTTATACTGCTCCTGGGTACAAAATTTCATAAACTTAAAATAATAAAGGTCTATCTTCTGGATATGAGGGGGGAAATTGCACAGGACTTAATCAGTCTTGACTATACTATGTCTTTTAATTTCCATTCTTCTTTTCTAGTCTATAAAATGACTATTAGTAGTGACAAAATAAAGATTTGGGGGGAAAAGCAAAAGAAAGCATTTGTTCACATATTCTTTTCTTCTTCTGACCAGAAATCCTCTTTTAAACCCCTACTGTGTGTTCCGTACTGTGCTAGACACTTGGAAGTCGACCAGAAGAGAGGTGTCATTCTGGGCCCTTACTTACTTGATTCTGAAGTCGTCAGCAGCCAGCTTGGCATTGTCAATTTGGGTCACCAGCCTGACATTCTCAGCCTTGGTGCACAGGATCTGAGGAAACCCAAGAAGAGAGTTCACATACACACAAATCATACCCAGGGCTCCAGCTATACATGTGCTGTCCCCATTCATGTCTCAGAAGAATCTAAGAGTCCTAAGCTCTTTGAGTCCTAAGTGGTGTTTTGGCCTGCTGTGCCGGCTGGCTACCTCAGACCCAGTTGTACCCCAGGCTCCTCCAAACCTCACCTTCTGCTGAAGCTCCTCAATGGTCCGGAAGTAGGACTGGTAATCGGGACACACAAGAGGCTCCTGGCATTGGCTAAACTCGCGGATCTTGGTCTCCAGCTCCGCATTGTCCCGCTCAAGCTGCCGCACCTTCTCCAGGTAGTTGGCCAGACGATCATTCAGGAACTGCATGGTCTCCTTCTCGTGGCCATTCAGGGTGCCCTCACCAGAGAACCCACAGCTTCCTACGTTGCCTGGAATATGGCAGGTCCCTGGCAGGGGGCAAGCAGTGTTGCAGCTGGGAGGCAGACAGAGGCTGGGTCGGCCCAGAGAGGTGGTCCCCACACGGATTCGGTTGGCATGAGCCAGGCTGGCTGAGAGGCACTGGGAGGCAGCCTTAATCTCTGCTCCAGGCTGGCCCCCAACATCGATGGAGGAGATGGAGACATTGGGTGCCACAGGAGCATTGACGATGCCCAGAGGGTAGGTAGAGTTGATGAAGGCGGAAGTCATGGTGTTGAGCTGAGGCTGTACAGGAGCTTCAGATCAGCTGGGAAGGCAAAGCCACTGAGTCTGGATACCTTCTTCTTCCTAGCCCTTTTATATCTCATCCTGGAAGGGGCTTGGCTCAGTGCTTTGACCTCATGTCTTTATTATCATCTGTTATTGTTGTACCATCACCCTATTACTCAGTTATTGCGTTTACCTTTAAGAGGCACTTAGCTCATTAAATGAATTTTTGAGGTACCTTGAGCTACCTCTTGGCTCTTTGCTATCAGGTTGACTGTTAGTGGAAGGTCAGAGGTTCACATTTCTGCTCAAAGAACACCTGAAGCTAATTCAGCCCCAGGTGTCCTCCTCTGGATGGAGGCAGCCTGCTCTGTGGATGGCGGTGGCCACACTGAAGTCTCGAATCTTTCAGTCAATAATTTGTGATATAGGAAAAATTCTGACAGCTTCTTCACTTTGCTGGGGATTTCCATTAAAAGCAAAATGTTCATTTGTACAAATGTCAAGTCTTCTGATGTTTGATTATTCAAAGAGACCCTTGATTTTTCTTCTGTTCCTACACTCTTATTGAAAGAAGAGGGCAACCGGACCAGCAGAAATACTTACATTAAGTGAGTTTTTGTCAACAAGATAAAGTCAGCTAGTCAATCATTCATTCAACGTGATTCCTGAGTATCTCCCTTAATCCACACGGTGTGTTGGTTTCTGGGCAGGCAATTGTCTCCTGAGAAAGCAGTGTCACAAAGTCAGGGGGAGGTGAGTGGGGGAAAGACAAATCCTCTGGTCCTGACCACAGAAACATCTAGACAAAAACTAATCCCAAAAAAGAAAAAACTCTAAGTAGGAACAAAAATGGACACAGGACTCAAGGAATGTTTAAACAAAAGGTCAAGGACCCACATCGACTGAATATGCAGATGTGCTAGACACACCTGGGGTCTTTCCAATTCAGTTTCCATTAGAAGTTGAAAAACTACTGAGGGAAAGAGGAAATTGGGCAGCAATGAAAGAATCTTTTTAAAGAGCAAAGCAAACTATCTTCCAGCAGGTTTTCAGAGGCAGTTAATCGCATGGGAGGAGATTGCCCATCCTTCTCTCACAGAGCAGTCAGTGGCCTCAAACCATGTGTCTTCGGGATTACAGCACAGCTTCTTACCACTAGGCCACCAGAGCTCCATTTATATAGACTAAGAGGCAGTTATTCAAACAGTACAAGAGGAAGGCTCATGATTTGAATAAGGAAAGATGGGTTTCAATACTTACTCGAGCTGAATGCTGAGCAAATAATCCCAGAAACCTGACTATCTGGAGAATGTGACATCAAGATTGAAGGGAGATTCATGGACAGCCTACAATATATAGATGACACAACTTTGCTTGCTGAAAGTGAAGACATAAAGCACTGAGGATCAATGACTATATCCTTCTATATGGATTACACTTGAACATGAAGAAAACAAAAATCCTCTTAACTGGATCAGTAAGAAACATTTGGCTAATTGGAGAGAAGCTTGAAATTGTCAAGGAATCAATTTTATTTGGATCCACAGTTCAACACCCATTGAAGGTACAGTCAAGAGATCAAATGACATTTCGCCTGGAAAAAAATCCACCACACAAGACCTCTCTACAATGTTTTAAAAGCAAAGCTATCACGTTGAGAAGTAAGATATGTATGACCCAAACCATGGTATTTTCACTCATCTCGTATGCATGTGATAGCGAGGCAGTGAATGAGGAAGAATTGATGTCTTTGAATCATGATGTTGTTACTGTTGTTGAGTACCGCAGGGTCAGAACGCTGACCCTCTGGCAGGTTTTCAGAGGTGGTTAATAGCACAGGAAGAAATTGCCCATCCTTATCCTACAGAGCAACTGGTGGCCTCGAGCCATGTGCCTTCAGTATTACAGCACAGCTTCTTGCTACTAGACCACCAGAGCTATGATACTGGTGAATAGTATTGACTGCACAATCAGAGGAAGGAAAACATGTCTGGGAAGAAGTACAACCAAAATGTCCCTTATAAGTGACTATGGTGACACAGTATTTCAGGTACCTTGGAAAGGAAAGTCTCTAAAGGAGAACATTGTGCCTGGCAAAGCAGAGAGTCAACACAAAAGAGGAGGCCCGTCAGTGAGATGAATTGTCACAGATCTGTAACAACGGGCTCCAACATAGCAGCAGTAACGGCAGAGGACCAGGCAGGATTCTGTTGTGTTGTATACGGAGCCCCTGTGAGTTAGTACCATCTCAGCAGCACCTAACAACAATTACAAAGGCTGGAGACCACCTAGAACAAGACTTGAAGAGTAAAAATTTATCTTTGCTCTGAGAAATGTTCTAGAACAAGTATTCTTGGGTGAAACAAATGGATGGAACCTGGCTCCTGGAATTCTTTTAAGAAGAAATAAATACAGAGGAAAACCTATTTGGGGTCAGCTATGATTCCGGAGGTTGACCTGAGGTCGATGATGACAGCTTCTTTACTAGACAGAATCCTCAGAAGGCATCTTCAGGTCAAGCCATCCTTCAGAAGCTTCTGGGTCCAATTTGCATATATTCCATCTTCAAACATCCCTCCACCTCATCATTTAGCATCACTTATAAACCAGAGAATTGGACCATTAAAATTGTGTCCTTTGATTTGCTAAATAGGATTCCTTTTTTTTTTTTTTTTTTAACCCTACTTGCTGACATGTTTGGCTAAAATCAAAGTTCCTTCTGTATCAGAACACATGACCTTTGTTATTTGTTAAGCGTCGCTACTGAAGTTTGACATCCCTGGCTGACACACTCTCTTCCTCTCTTCTTAAGTTTGATCTGAGACCCTGGCTTGGACTGCAGCGTGGTCTGTTTTGCATAATGACACCTGAAGCTGCCTCCACGCCCCCCTTCCTCAAAGGAACTGACAGTAAGTGCAAAGCATAAGACCAGGGCTTTAGATGCACTCGGGTGTGTAGGTGGGGTGGGGCTGTCTTTGGCACTGCCTTCCCTTGCTCCCCTTTAAAAACAGCTCCTGACTCCCAAGAACAACATATGAGCTAGTTTGCAGATGAGGTGGAGAGAAAGGTAGTCCTGTAGCCCTCCTTCATTTACATGGACACCCTCTTCTCTCTGGGAGGAAAAGTCCCCTAGCCTCAGGCTATCTCGAGGTGGAAGTGAACCACTTGGTGGAAGTGAACATCCTCAATCAGCACCATGGTCTTAAGATATATATATCAATTCTTCTTCTGTCATCCTTAGTCATTGTTCAGCTCTCTGATGCATAACAAGCAATTGCAAAGACCATAGCCTAAATCAAGTGCACCTTAGTCTCCAGGCTAGCATCATTGCTCTGTAGCACTTTGGAGAGATCCTTGACAGTTTATTTCCCCAGTGCAATTTGTCTTTTGATTTTCCAACTAATGGTGCCAAGAGTTGATTGTGGATACAAGCAAGATGAAATTGTTAAAAACCTCAGCCTTTTCTCCAACTAACATGATGCTGCCAAGAGGCCCAAGGGTGAGAATCTTTGTCTTCTTAATGTTAAGATACAATCCATATTGATGTAGTCCTTGACCTTCTGCAGCAAATGCTTTAAGTCCTCTTTTGTCAAGCAAAGTTGTCTGCATAGGGCAGGTTGTTGAAGAGTCTTCCTCCAATCCTGGTACCACACTTTTCTTCAAAGAGTTCAGCCTCCCAAAGATCTGTCTTGCATATAGATTGAAAAGATGTACAGACAGGACACAGCCATGACTCACTCCTTTCTTGATTTTTTTTAACTTTTTCTAATATTTATTTGCTTACAAAGTTCATATGCATCATGTTTCACAGAATTCTTCATTCACATCGTGTTTCATACAATCATTCCCATGCATTATGTTTTATAAAATTAATCACCCATTGGACCATGCCCATCATTACTCTGTATTTTCAGGTCCCTGCTGGATCCTTCCCATTTTCTTCACCCTCTCCCTCCACCCACCAAATTGTGCAACCCTGTGGTTTAGCTCCTACCCATCCTCACCTTTCTGATCCTACCTCTTCCTCCCTATGGTTCCCATACATATTTTACTTGTTATCCTTCTATTTTTACAATAATGGTCTTTGGAGTATTTGTCCTTATGAGCCTGAGTTAGTTCTCTCAGCATAATGCTCTCCAGTCTCATATTTTTCAAAACTGTTACTGAGTGCTGCAATGTTGCCCTGCCGCATACGTCTCACATGAGCTCAACCAGGTGTTCTGGGATTCCCATTCTTCTCAAGGCTAGCTACAATTTGCTGTGATTCACACAGTCAAATGCCTTTGCATAGTCAATAAAACACAAACAGACATCCTCTGGTACTCTCTGCTTTCAGCCAAGATCATCTGACATTGGCAATGCTATTCCCTAGTGCCACAGCCTCTTCTAAACCTAGCTTGTATTTCTGGTAGTTCTCTGTCAAAGTACTGTTCTAGGCTTTATATATATATCCACAAGACTTTGCTTGCATGTGATATTAGTGATATTATTTGATAATTTCCACACTGTTGAATCAGCCTATGGTGAGATTTCTTTTTTTAAAAAAAAAGATTGACCTATGGTTAGAGGACCCTAAGCTGTTAGTAAGGAGCTCTGCTGGCATGGTCATCAAAGGGCTCTGTGCTGCTAATGGGCGTTGTTCTCCAGCAGGTCGAATCCATCAGTGGTTCCCAGGGAGGAAAATGAGAGGTCTTCTCCAACGACAATTTACACCCTCAGAAATCCAATGGAGTGTCCCTATGAGTCAGAACTGACTCGACGGTAGTGAGTTTGGGTTTTCAAAGGTGCTGTTAGGCATCCCTGATAGTGCAGTGGGTTAAACATTGGCTTGCTAACCAAAAAAAGGTCAAACGTTCAAACTCGCCAGCCTTTCCACTGGAGAAACATGAGTCAGTCTGCTCCCATACAGTTGTGCAGCCTCTGAAACTCAATGGGCTATTTTCCTCTATCCTATTGAGAACTCCGATGGCTTAGTGGTATGGAATTGTGCTGCAAACCCAAAAGTATGCAGTTTAAAACCACCAGCTGCGCCATGAGAGAAAGATGAATAATCTCCCCCTGTGTAATTTGCTGCCTCTGAAAACCTACTGGAGGGTGAGCTGTGGGTAGATTTCGACTCAGTGATACACAACAACAACTCTATCTTATAGGATTTCTGTGAATGGAAATCTACTCTACAGCAGGTTTGAATTTTAGTTGGTTTTAAACTACTAATATTGATGGAAAACTACCAGCATACAAGGTAGGTTTAGAAGAGGCTGTGGCACTAGGGAATAGCATTGCCAATGTCCGTTTTAAACTATACAAGGAGTTACAGAGCTGCTACTTGCAGTTAAGGTCCTAGCTACAAGCTGAAAGATCAGATCAGCAGCTCACCAGCTGCTCCATAGAAGACTCACAGTCTTAGAATCCCTATGTGGCCTCCCTTTACAGCAAGGGCCTCAGAGTCCCTCTTTCTCACACTCATGACCGTTGAAACAGAGAAATCTTGGAAGCAAGCTAGACCTTGATTTGTCCAGCACAAAACTCGTACAGGACAACAATCATCTCCACCCCTGGCTCCTCGTTAGGCCACACTTGCTTATCCGACTCTCACTTGATGCCCTGTCTGTGACGAACATCTCACAGGTGAACAATAGCATGTGAGGAGTCAAGTGTAGAGAGTATCTGCCTCTAGTAGAGCAGGGCTATTCCCAGATTCAGAACCTCTCAAAGGGGCAGGAAATACCCTGCTGTTGTGACACAGTGACTTACTCTGCAGCCAGAGCAAAGCAGGGCCAGATCCCAGCTAAGCCACTGGCTGAACGCATAACCTTGCTCATTTCTCCTCCAGGAGACTCAACAGTCTCCTCTTTTTAAAGCAGTTATAATGTCTGTCCTACAAGACTGCTAGAGAGCATTGTGTTCGTGTGCTTTTAACAATAGGGAAGAGGAAATCACTGTTATATAAAACCTCATTTTAAAACGATGAAGTGGTATTCAAGCCTTTGTTTTAAAGATCAAAGTAGGGGAGAGAAAAAGCAAATTTATTGTGATGTAAAGATCGCTGTTCATAGTACTAAAAGGAGACCCAAAAAGCAAACCTATTACCCTTGAGTGTCAGTTCTGACTCATAATGACCCTGGAGGACAGAGCAGAGCAACCTATTGGGTTTCCAAGTCTGCAAATCTTTCAAGACTGCATCATCTTTCCCCCACTGAATGGCTGCCAGATATCAACTACTGACCTGTCAGTGAGGAACTGAATGCTTTGACCACTGTGCCACTGGGCACAATTCATCGCAAGAGAGGAAGGAAATTCACCAGGCAGAGATCTGGAGGCTAAAGCTGTGCTGAGAAGGGGGCTGCTGAAGGGCCTTCCACCCCGCCCCCCAGGTGGGCACCAACACAGCAAGACCCCGTGGCCTCTCCTCAAAAATGTCTCTAAGATCTCCCCTTGCTTCTATCCTCAGAAAAAGTCAGTCCTGAAACAAGTCAGTCATGGGGGGGGGGGGGAATTAAGTTGGTTTCCTGATCCTTTAGAAAGTCTGTGCAACTTCAGACAGAATGGCAAAGCGGCATTGTCGAAGGGGCTTCAAGAAAGCACTTTTCTCACCACTAGGCCTCCTGTCATTACTGAAGCCTCTAAATGGGGCCAGGCAGCCCCTGCCCTATGACGACGAAGATGGCATGGACCACGCCAGCAACATGGGTGGTCAGTGTCACTTTTCCATTTCCCCATCCTGTTTTTCCTCTTATGAAATCACAAGACATGACCAGCAGTGAGGCTGATGTGAGATATTTTTCCAGTCAGCTGGGAACCACATTCTGAAATCAGGACCACAAAGGGCATAAGCTGCATCCTCTCATCCCTTGGCCCCCTCCTTCTAACATGTCGAAACGGAAACTCTATAGGATCATAGCATTAAGGTAGGCCTTGGAGGATTTACGTGCATTTTCTTAGGAGTTTAACTGTGATGATCTCAAAGGGTGAAAAGGGAAATAAGACGCATGGCATTGGGCTTTCTGGCCTCAGATGGACTCTTATAGGAGGTGCTAAGAAGGAGCTGTCCCCTAAAGCTAGGTTTTCTCATTATTTAGACTGAGTCAAATAGACAAACTTGCTCTGAAAAGCAAGTTATTACGCACACTCATTTCCATTAGCTGCTGAAGGGGGAAACTTGTGGGAATTTCAAATGGGCCGATCAGCTAAGCATCTGTGCGGTTAACCACCATGCATGCATGGATGGCTCTGGACTAGAGTGTACTATTCAGAGTATTTTCCTTTCTGTTACCTCATTTAGAATCCATGACAGATCGGTGGTAGAAGTAGGAAAGATAACAGTACCCTCTGTTTAGAGTAGAGGGAGGGGGAAAAAAGGCTCAGACTTCAGACACATTAAGTGATGATTCTAAAGCCCCACAGCAAATTGGAGATAAAAATCAGACTGACAATATCCGTTCTTTCAACACGTGTTTATTCATCATTGGCTCTGCAACAAGCAATGGGCTAGGCTCTGAGAAAGCACCAGTGAATGGAACAGGAAACAGCTCCTGCCTCCAGGAAGCATTTTAATTGGATAAGTAAACAATTTCGGTTGTTGAGAGATGCCGTGACAAAGTGAACAGCAGAGAAGGCTGGGTCAGAGATACTTCAGATGGATGGGGAGTGGGGGCTCTCAGAAGAGATGGCATTTTTACAAGAGGTAGAGGATCCCAGGGACAGGCCTCCTGGTATGTCTAAGAGACATTGTGATTGGGTCGTGGTGAGAAAGACAAAGTGGGGAGAGAGAGGTGGAAAGAAAGCCTCGTAGGCCAAGTGAGAAAGCATGACATTTTTTTAAAATATTGAATTTGGGATGGGGTGTGGTTTAGTTATTCCTAAAAAATCATGCCCAGTACCTCTCTACTCAGAGAATCAGTAAGTCTCAATATTTCAAGGAAAAGTAGTGTGGAAAATAGAATCACTGTTCAAATCTACTATAAAATGACGTAGCGTAAGGAACGGTAGCCAGGCAATAGTCTTTGGAGTCAGGATTTATAGAGGGAGAAGAGTGAAATTGCTTCTCATGTCGCCGGTCACAGGCTGAAAACATTTCAGATTAAAGTCAATGTCCTCAGTAGACAGGAGTAACTTGTCTAAGTTATGCCCTGTCCATACCTCAAAATACTTCTTCAACATGATCCCTTTCTCTAATGCCTGCTGTGTGGACACCCTGAACCATCACTGGTGATTTGTGATGCAGTCCATGAGGTATGGAGCTTGTCTGAGGAAAACCAGAAACTAGGAAGGAAAGATCCCAATATAAAATTCTATATTAAGATTCCAAAATAAAATTCTGCAGGTACAGGCCAGTGCAAAGGCCCTGCCTTCAGACTGGCCTGAACACACAAAATGTCAATGAGAACAGAAGCCAGATTTTCTGAAGCTGTGATGAGCATTTCTCTTTGGGTAACCCCAAGCCTTAACCCCCCACTGCTGGTGCACAGGCCTTCAGAATCGGGTCCCAGCTCCGGCTCCACAGACTGAGCCAGACCCACAAGAGGTGCGGGGGGCACAGCTCGGACGAGAGGCACAGGCAGATGTCCCACAGGAGGCAGGGGTGGCACAGGGATTGCAAGGAAGCCTGCAGAGAGACAGAAGGGGAGCAAAGTTAGGGAAGGGAATGAATTGACATCACAGGAATGTGTAGAGAGCAGGAGAAATGTGTCCCCACTCCAGAAACAACACGGTGTGGACCCAGCTGATGCTCTCAGCCATTAACCCCCACCTCGCTCCCTTAAAAGTCGAGTTTTTACAAGTTATAATGAAGTCCATTGGACTCATGGTGACCAGAAGAATGTTAAAGTTGGACTGTGCTTGATAGTTATTCCAGGGACCGATATTTCAGAAGTAGATCACTAAGCCTTTCTTCTGAGAAGCCTCTGAGTGGACTCAAACTTTCAACCTTTTGATTAATAGCCAATCTTACAAATGTACCACCAAGACTTAGATGGTTGTTGTTGTTGTTGTTGTTTTGTGCTGTAGAGTTAGAAGTAACTCACAGCTAACCCTTCAGCAGGTTTTCAAAGGCAGTAAATCGCAGAAGAGGAGACTGCTCGTCCTTCCCCTATGGGGCAGCTGGTGGATTAGAACCATGTACCTTTGGTATCACAGGTCAGCTCCTTACCACTAGGCCACCAGAGCTCTCAAAATTGTTTTCTAGCACTAACTCTTTAAAGATTAGTCCAGTTCAACTCCAAAAGACAGATGATACAATAACAGGAAGGATTTAAGAAAGGAGAAGCTAGCCCAAAAATCTAATGGAACTAGAGACAAATCTCACACGTGAAGAATAGCACAGTTTACTCTCATTGGTCCTGTCTACACCGAGCAGCCACTGGAGACCTGGCAAATGACAGACAGCCTCCTGTAAATGAACAGGCATTTCCTTCACACGATCAATGGCACAGAAGGCACAGTCTAGGTCAAGGCCATGAGAACTGAGTAGGAGCATAGTGAGAGTGTTGTTCTCTGTAGACAAGCATGTCTGTTACCCTGAGGACCTCGTGAGAATTGAGTGAATGGGCTGTGCCAGCAGTTGCCAAGAGCACACGTACTTGCAGTCTTCGCTCTCCAGGAGGTTCCGGTATGTGTTGATCTCCCCCTCCAGCCGGGTCTTGACATCCAGCAGCACCTGGTACTCCTGGTTCTGACGCTCCAGGTCGGCCCTGATCTCAGACAGCTG